ACCTCTAGGAAATGACACATCACCCACCGCTGATAGATAGAGAATGCCTCTTGCCAAGAGTTAGGAGCGTAGTCATCCAACTCATTCTGATGAGCCATCAAAGCTATATACTCGGCAACACCCTCCTCCTTCACCTGAGCTATCTTTGCCTTGACCTACTCGAGCCTCTTCTTCAGCACCTCCCGCGCCTCTTTGATCATGGACACGACCCTTCAGCTTGCGGACGGTGTCGTCCCTCTCATTGATGTCGTGCTTCCGCTCGGCCAATTCCGCCGTCAACTGGGTGTTCTCAATCTCTCATGACTTATAAAATCACAACAGGCTGCGGAGGCAGTCGACAAGGGTAACAACTGAATAAACCGACTATAGGGCATCAAATAGTTAGTACAAAAGAAAAGAAGAGAAACAAGGAAGAACAAGTAAAGCCAAACTTATTGCCATGATTTGATGGAGAGTCACACTCTCCGGGAAGCTGCTAGTTTAGCTACTGGCTTCCTTCCTAATATCAAAGAGCTTCACACCCCGGACAAACTACTTGGCCACCCCTCAGTCTCAAAGGTGTCCTCCGGCTAAAATGACCATTGTGGCATATACACATCGACCAAGCTCTCATTCGAAGCATATTTCGAAGTGTCCTCCCTCTACGATGAAGATCACCCGAGTTGAGTTGTGGCCTCTTTGGAATCAACAACCACGATTTCCTCCATTGACCTTAGCCTCTTCCCTTGCCGAGGTGTGCACTTTGCCGAAAGGCATTGGAGCTCTATAGCCCCAGGTTGGACGATCGATGTCCTAGCCACTTGTGCCTTCCACACGGCCACGGATTGCATATGCCGAACTCTCTCCTCAATACCAACCATGTCTGAATCTACACAAATCACCACAAATTTAGAACTCAGTGAAGACATGCTCATAAAAAAAAGGAGATTGTGTAATCCACAGATCGGATTGGGATACACTTCCCGATCCCAGGGCACCTCAGTTCGTACTCCTTGGGAATGCGATACACTTCCCGGATACAAGCTAGGTTGGCCGCAAACCACTCCCCAAATCTCTTCTCGAAGGCTTGCTCTTCTGACTCCACATCAGCTTCAGCTGCCTTGTCAGCCATAGTCTCCATGCATCAATCTCTCAGACCCCAGTTTCTCCTCATCACAGACCTCAGCCACATTAGCATCGGTTTCTGATACCCTAATCTCGATTGCCTCGAGCCGAGAACTACTCTCACTCTCATCCCTTGAAGTATATCCAATAAAAAGGGAAGATAGGGAAGACATAGTGGAAGACATTTTACCGAAGAAAAAAGAAGCTCGGGACACCTAAGATATCAAGAAAGGGACGTCATCCGAACTCCAAGGTGTAGACTCTTTCCAAATGACAAAGTCAAATGACTCGCCTACCCCCTTTTTATAAAGGCAGCCAATAGTTCAGATCAAATCAGATCAATGGCATCCATTGGATGTTGCACTTTGCATGCGAGTGACCTCAGGAAGATGAAACAATGCATCTACAAACCCGTAACGAAAACAACATGAGCGTTGAACTAGTCAGTCTACCCAGTGAACCAGTCTTACCTCAGGCCAGCCAACTCGAAGAAACTAAAGTTCCTCAACCAAAGATCGCATAACTCTTCCACGCTTAGCCACAGTTGAGTACTACACTCCTTGACTTCAGAACTGGGGGAGTGGTATTCGGGTGATGGTTAAGCTGGCAAAGGATGTCATGTGGCTATCTCCGCAGTCGCCCCCATCTTAGGCCATGTCGATGCCATGCATAATGGAAGAGCATGAATGTGAGCTTTGGGAAGCTCATGGTCGGCTCAAAGGAGTTGGAGTCACCACCCATTTTTTAGAGGAAATGGACCCTCATTTTTTTTGTTTGAAAAACTCGATTCAAGTCTTTGATAGTGACTCCGTTTTCCATGGGAAAGGCATAGAACCAAGAGATTTCGGGTTCCAAGGATTGGGAAAGGGAAGATGTTAGGCACCCCTCTCTCCAAGCTGCTATAGCAGCCCAATACGGGAGTTGTTCAGATTCTGTTTCGTTCAAAGTGAAACAGAAATGATTGCAAGAACTTCTTAAATCTAGAAGAACATGTTTTCAACTTCTCCTAAGACTGATTTTGAGGTGATGTTATCGGATCTTAGGTACTGATTTCCCTAAGACCCTCACCTCTCTACCTCTACTCTTAGCCAAGAAGTAATTGCAAACAATGGTCCTCCAACATTTCAGAACCTCAAGCAACTTAGAATGACTAAAGGAGATTTACCTTTCGTATGTACCTTATCAAAAGATTTCTAGCAGCTAAAAGGACTTCAAATGAAATTTGACTAAGGCAGGAGTTGGAATGAATATTTTTGGTGTTAAGTTGAAAACAGGGAATGAGGCTTGAGCTTGGCTTCAAGGGTTTTGAGATTTCAAGCAGAATAGATGAGTTACAGAAGTTGGGGAAACTCTTCTCCTCCCTTCTCTCTCTTTCTTTCTTTAGGGACCTCTCTCAGGTTTCCTCCCTTTAGTCCCCCTTGGTATCTTCTTAGGTGTTCTCTCTCCCTTTGAGCTCGAATTAGATCGGTATTTATAGAGAAAGGGAGGGTTTCTGGTCTGAATTCACTAAGCTATAGTGCCTGTTTGGTGAAACTCTTTCTTCGATTTGGGGATAGTTTTCATGGGTTTTTGCGTCCAATAGGAGCTTGGGGCGTGCTAGACATTGCAATTTCATATTTGGGGTTATCAGTGGCATAAAATGTAAATTTAAAGAACTTTTAAATGCTATTTTGTCTTTTCATGGTTTTAAGCAGAGGTCTGTTTGGCATTTTGAGCTTTTTAAGCCTATTAGGCTCTATTTGATTGGTCCAAGTGTTTTAATGGGTAAAGAATGGGTCTGACATCAGCCATAACCCTTTTAAGGCTTTAGGTTGGGCCAAATGATGTGACAATTTAATCTGGTGCGTTAAAATGACATCTTTCTAGTTTAATAGTCAAACTGATGAATTAGGATGTAAAATTTGGTGTGTTGGGGTTTTTAGGTCTTTGAACGCAGTGGTGAGGTCTAATCAGACAAACATGGTCAGGATGATTGAGATCTATGGCTGACAAATTTGGATCAATAAAATTTGCTAAAATTGAATTTTTGATTGATGAAGTGCCGAACATGCGAATTTTGGGATGCAATTTAGTGGGTTGGCACTCTTGAACATCCTGAATCTAATGGAAGTGATGGATCTTTGAATAAAGGTGTGGGTTGATTGTTTTGGTTCAGATCATGGTCTTAGCTTATGACTTTTCAACCAACGAAATGTCCTGGAATGGAATCTTACTTTTTCAATGGTCAAATGGAGGTGTTTGGTCATGGAATTTAATGTACTGGGGTTTTTTGGGTCTCCGAATACAATGCTAAGGTTTAATTTGTCATGTGAAGTTGGGATGATGGATGATAGTCTCTAATTAATGAGATTTGTTGGAATATGATCTATGCTTGATGGGGGGTTAAACAGATGAATTTTGAGCTTCAATTTGGTAGGTAGGCATGGATAAGGGTAAGGAGTCAAGTGGATGGTTCTGATCTGAGAAAGATATGATCAATCTTGGTAATCATTCAAGGCCTTTAGAATGTGATCTTGATGTCGTTGTGGTTGTTTATCATAGATTCATGGTGGGATTCGCTAGTTGATTGTTTCCTAATGACTATCCTGCACGGACAAGGAAGCGAACTCCGTTGGAGAAGAGGAAACCTCCCAAAAACCTCAGAGGACACCCTTATCTCGACAACCTCGGAAGCCCTATCCATCTAGGAGATGGGTGCCCAATAATAAATAGGATTCCTCGTTTGAGGTAAGGAACGTTTCGGAACTAGACTCTTTGAATACCTCTTTACACTATCTCTTCGGCTCATCCTGGCCGCATCCTTCTCTACCTTGTTCACTTGAGCTCGGAGTACCCACTCGGGAAACAACTCCTCGGGCCTCTGACCTTTCTCCCAATTGCAGATCTCGACACACCACTTTGTCCTTCCACCTTAGCCTCGTCCAATTGGTAAGACTATCTGACCGTGTCCTCAATTTGAGACACCTCGGATCGAACAACATCAGATTAAGATTCATGCATATTTATAGGAAATCCAACTAGGCGGCTGATTGGGTTTGGCAATCCCTTCAAATTTTGGTTAATTTTGTTTTTTTGTTCATTGGGAATTAGAGATTATTTGTTTTTGTGATTTATCGGGATATGCTACCCCATCATTGTGTAGCACCTTTGTTATTCTATAAAAAAAAGAAACACTTTTTTCCAAACATATGTTTAACTACTCAGAAAAAAATCATTTCAAATTATGTAGGATCAATTAAAAGGATTATTATTTAGAAATAAAATCTAATTTACTTTCTTAAATTAAATAATAAATCTATATATCAAAAAATATCAAATAAAAATATAACCTAAATTTACGACATAATAATGGGTTTCAAGCACAATTTATCAAAAATACAGGCCTTGTATATGTATGGGGTGGTCATTCTGTAGTATATATAATACTGTCTTGGCCTCCTTCAAAGTAGACGCAGAGGACCCATCACACCCGCGCGTGCATGAGTAGGTAGATGTAACTACTGTTTCAATAAAAAAAAAAAAACATGTAACTAAAACTAATCGATCCGGTCAAATTCTCTTTCTATCTCTCTCTCTCCTTAATAAATTCTGTGGCGTGGTTCTGTTATTCACCCACCTGATCATTGTCACAGATAAATTAATTAAATATCTCTCTTCCTTCTCACTTTTTAAATATATCTCTTCCTTCCTCGGCCTCTCCTTGCCTAGGAAAAACCATCAACCGCCCAAATGAAGCTAGGATACGTCAGCTACGGGCGCGTGCAGTATGATACTCTTGTATTCGCATTATCATTGCGTTATTCTTCTACGTCTAGCATGACGCTTCATCCTCTCTCTCTCTCCTTAATTTGGGCTATAAATACCTCCATATCTGCCCATCTCTTCTCATCAACCATCACAAACTAAACACTGCAGAATTAAGCAGAACGATCATGGTCTTCTGCAAGCCTAAATCAGCTCGTTTCTTCGTTTCCATCGGCGCCTTAGCCTGGCTCCATGTCTGCCTAGCTCAAGACGCCCCAGCAGATTATCTCAACGCCCACAACGCAGCTCGTGCCGATGTGGGCGTTGGGCCTTTGACATGGGATGACAACGTAGCGGCCTATGCCCAAGCTTATGCCAATGAGAGGGCTGGTGACTGTGCCATGGTGCACTCCGGCGGACCCTACGGAGAGAACCTTGCCACGGGGACGCCTTCCTTGTCGGGGACTGCTGCAGTGGAGGGTTGGGTGGGTGAAAAACAGTACTACGATTACAGCTCCAACTCATGCGTGGGGGGTGAGTGCCTCCACTACACGCAGGTGGTTTGGAGTGACTCTGTGCGTCTTGGGTGTGCCAAAGTTCATTGCAACAGCGGATGGGACTTCGTCATCTGCAGCTATGACCCTCCAGGCAACTATGTAGGGCAACGTCCTTACTAGAGTTCTTCCAACTTGAAACTTGAAATGGCCTACTTAATATATATCACGTAAATAAGCTGGGTTTCACGTCACCCGGTACACCTAGACCTCTAGTGATCGAGTCGTTTGGCTTTCATCAATAAGCATTATTCCATGCAAACTAGCTAATGATGATGATATATATATGTAAAATTTATGGAATATATACGTTTCTGGCTTGTTATCACTTGCTCTTCAATTTGAAATGTTATTTTTACAGCTTGTTTGAATTTGAAATAGAATGTAAGGTTTCTTTTTTTTTTTTTTATAAAACTAAAACAAAAAACAGAGAGACAAGAAGGTTGAAGCATCATCCTTCATGGGAGATGCTCCCGATGTGGAGTTGTAATGATTGGTATAGGCAGCTGATCTGAACTCCCTGCATGCATGCACCAGGCCTTAATTACTCGTGTAGTGTATTAGGTTTAGTTTGGATAGAGTACAAATACAACAATGGGTATTTTGGACATTTTTGTGCTTTTTTTGTTAGAAGATTCTAGGCAAGGGTCTATTTGCAATTGTGTCAAAAAGTTCATGGGAGGTGATTGCATTTAACAAACTTTATAGGGGGGTTCAACAATAATTAAAAAATTTTACGGGAGGTTTTAGAAATTTACCCTTTCATTTATTTATATTAAAAAAAAAAACCCTTAAAGTACATCTTAGTTCTCAATAGCCAATGTTGGGCCACATTAACCACCAGGAAGAGATTTCCAATTTGCAAATGGATGAGCAATTTATTATTTAAACTATTTTCTTGTTTTTTTTTAAAAATATTTTTAACCTATTTTAATTTGTTCAGTTCTTGATCATTAAGATAGGAGATGGTTTTCTCTTTTTTATTCCTACCATATGGTGGGTTAATTTTACATTTCCTTTGCCTTAAAGCCCATATCGTTGGATGACAAGATATTTGCAATAGCAAGTGATATTTTTTATAACAATTTAAAGTAAGGTTTTCAGTGGTTGAAGGAGTTGAAATTCAATTATCATATAGAAATTAATTCTTGCAAAGGTAACGAGAATTCAAATAAAATTCTGACAAAGGTAACTGATAATAGTTATTAATTTTCTTAATTTTATTAATGAACCATAATAAATAAGAATAATAAGAATTTTATTAATTCTCATTACCTTTTCAAGAATTTTATTTGAGCATATCTTTCTATTAATGAACCATAATAAATTTGATAAATAAGAATACTTTTTATAGATGTAGAAATATAAAAAAATTGCAAAAAAAATAAAAATATAATATATACTATCATCATCACAAAATTTGTCACATACAAAGCACGTAAACAAATACTGGTCTCCACAAAAGTGAGAGATGAACATAATTACTAATCGATTCAAAAGGAAGAAGAAGATGATTTTATAGAAACTTTTTTAAGGTCAAATAAAAATTGTATTAAAAGAAAAAGAAGGTTATAAGTTGTGTTAGCTGACAGGCTCAAACAGAAGATCATCTAAATCCTATACTATCTTAGCCCAAAGAGTGAGGCCAAAGAAATCTCTCACTTTGCAATCTTCAAAGCATGAAACCAAAAGACAAATGCTTTGCCTATGATCTGACCAAGGCCTTGTTCAGCAACCCTTATATCTGAACGCTGAAGACCACGTAAGATCTTTAATAGGCATTAGAACGTTTGGTTCAATATTTTGTTAATTATCAGTCTTAAACGTACATGAATCTTTTCACATGACAAATTCTAGATACTCTTCTTCCAAAAACACCCTTCAACACACATTACCCCACTTAGGGAGTGGTTATCAAAAACTGAAAAAACCAAAAAAAAAAAAAAATTGAACCAAACAAAAAAATTCGATTAACTGAACTGATCAATTTAATATTTTTGAAAAACTGGAGGTATATATTGATTTTGGTATCATTGTTATTTTTACCTAGAACGTTTTGTGTTGATCAATATAAATTGGCATACAATAATTATTTGAGGCTAGTTATAGTAAAATAAACATCTATACTAAAGGATATTTGCCTTGGTTTTGGTGATGGTCATAAAAAATTAAATTTGATTCTATAATATTAGTTCATCTTACTCCACAGGTGCATAGCATGTGCCCTCACACTAGTATTCGTGAGAAGCTATTTCTAGAAACACCAAATTGGTGTTTTTTGCTCTACAAGGGATGAAGTCTAACATTTAAGTTGAATTAAATAACTCTTACATGTGATGTGACAATACATATCTCTCACCAATTTGTATTGATCAACCCAAAAGGTTTCGAGTAGAAACACCAGTGATACCGAACACGACCTGAATCATTGAAAAAGTCTATCTCTTTTAATAGGAGTGGTTTAACAAGGGTGCAGATTTCTTACTCTTAAAAGATTAAACAACAAGCCCCTTCTCTATTTTTTTTTCACATTTTTATCAAAATTTGTATTTCAATAGATTCACCTCCATTGGAGCTAAGGTAGAGAAGAAACTCAGGTAAGAAATGGAATGATAGGAAGAAAATTTATGGAAACAAGATACATAATGTCTTACCTTAATACCTAATAGGCGTGATTGTCAATCACCTGACTACTTTGGACCCATCAACATGTGCAATGTCATATATAAAACGGTTGTTAGAATTCTGGTAAGCAAGCTTAGGCTTTTATTGAGCAAGATTATTTTTACATTCCAAAGTCCCTTCATCTTCTCAACTTCTTCTCTCCTCCTTTCTCACGCAAGGGCTTGCCATTTCTATTAGTTGGGTGTTCATCACCGATTGCCATTTGGATTTCCAGTTATAGTTGCTGATGTTGCTTTTGGGTAAGAGATGATTTAAACTTCATGAGAATAAGATCTCATAAGAAACAATTGGATTGTCCATCTCCAAGGAGGTTGTGATTGTTTACAATTGCTTCTAAATGGGAAGATGACGTTCTTCCCACTTGTTCTTGTTAGACAGTGTATGCCCTTAGCTCCAATCAGAATGATGTACATTATGACATTTAATTAAATGAATAAAGTACATATTTGATTTGTGTTATTATGGTGTGTTTCTGTGTAATACCTTTAAATTGGACACTTATGAGACTCGTGTTAATTTAGAATCTTCATAGCCGTTGGATAGATCTGGGGAGATTTATCTTGCCAAGGCTGACACTGATGTGCCGCCAAGTTAGTTGGAGTAGCTTGTCTCAGTTGCCAATGTGGGACCTGAGGTACATGCTGTGTGCATTTTCTTGAAACCCTGAACCATACCATAATTCCAGTATTGCCCTAGACCTTGGAAATAGATGGGCAAAACTGGAATGTTACACCTGACCCATAGACTCGATTATGATACTACACTAGGTGTTGGATTGAATTGTCTTTGATATGCCAATCAATGAGATCCTTAGAGGGGATCAAAACCTGGGTATATTGGGACAGTCCAAGAATTCATCTGAATGGGTGATCATAGTGACAAGATCAGCCCCTTTGTCGGACAAAGTGAATGATCGGGGATGCACTCTCTGATGGAAACCTAAACAACCGGCAGTTGATTTCAACCATTGAAATTTGTTTTGAAAAATATATTTATATAGAGATATACATATATATGTTATGGTTTCAAAATGTTTGCAAAATGTTTTAATTCCCGAGATCCATGTGAGTAGAGAGTGTAGCACTGTACCTTGCAGCTGAGGGAGATGTCCTCTCTTGTCAGGCAGTGTTTGATCATTATGGGCTAAGAGGTTAAGTGTAAGACCATTGAGGGTAATACCTGATGGGCTAATCTTGCATCTGCCCACTGTCCTTGGGTTTTTATAAGGTGGCTTGACCCAAGGACCATTTAGTGTAAATGTTGGGCCCATTAAGAGCCCATGGTGATGGACTCAGGGGTTACTGTCTCCTACAGTGAATTCGGCCAGGCCTTGTAACAGAGGCTGGATTGAACCCATGTGGTTGATGTGTAAATCAAAGTTTGGGTCCCACACAATACAAGGATATCCAACTGGGCAGTAGTTTGGAGGGTAAGTGAACAGATGGACTTAATGGGCCTAAATCCCAATTCGAATTGGCTTAATGAGATTAATTAAATAGCAGTGGTTCTGAGATTTAGATCAACAAATAGGATAATGGATTATCCCTATCCACTCAGAGAGTCCAGATCCAAATAGAGATTTGGATCAGGAAACTGCTAATTAGATTAGGAGGGCTGATCTTTATCTGTAGATAAGATAAGGGATTATCCTTATCTCTTAAAGAGAGACCAGATCTAAATACAAGATTTGGATTAGGAAACTCCTAATGGGATTAGGAAATGCTCTCTTTAAAGGTTATAAATAGAGGAACAGGGAGAACCTCCAACAAACACAATTCAGTTCAGAGGTTACAAAGAGAGAAGAACCTGCAGTTCGATTGCTCCTGTTTTCTACTCTCTCTCCTGCTCTTGCCGCCATACTAGTTCAATCTCCACTCTAGGAGCGATCAAGAAAGGGTTCTTGATATCACCTTCAACTGACGCCGTCATTGCTTGGTATATTGCAAGGTTTCGAATGGAGGTGGAGGATGATAACCTCGCACGGGAGTATTTTTGTCGTTAAAAAAATAGAGACAAGTTTGTCCCATTCGAATGAAGAAGCACTTCTTCAAGAAGTGCTGAAAAAAGCCACATCCAGTTCACTTTTTTAAGAAGTGCTTCTTTTTCCCCACTTTTTTAGCAAACACCTATAAGTACTTAAAAACTAGGGCTGCAAGTCAGGCCGGGTTAGGTTGGGTTGAGGCCAACCCTAGCCCAACCCTATGTTCTAAACCGCCAACCCTAACCCTAACCCAACCCGACCTACCCAACCATAACCCTAACCCTAACTAATTCCTTCAACCCTAACCCACAACTTCGGGTTAGGTTGGGCTCGGGTTGGGTTGGGCCCAACCCAACCTTCCCGTCCCTTAAAATCTAGTAGAAAAATAAGTATTTGTTTATCGTGAGTTATGAGTTATAATAGATTTTTTCTTAAAAATATAAAATCATGAAATCAACAATAATGAAACACAAAATTATGGAAATAAGATCACTAATAACAACTAATAGGATCAAGCAAATAATTTGAATCTATTAGATAGGTCACACATAAAAATTACAAGACAAAAGTAAAAGACAAGTAGTCAAGTACATGTGAATAACTTAAAGAAAGGGGGTTATACAACTACCATGCATCTAAATAAATCAATGTATGTTATATATATAATTGTATAT